AAAAAAAAAAAAAGAATGTGCTTAGTCAACATAATGGGAGAATACTTTCCTCGTTAATATCAAGGCATTCCTTAAGCAGTAATATTAAATAATGTAGTGCAGGTGCAGAAATAAAATTAGTGGAACAAGATAGAAAATAGTAAAAACAGACCTTCTCCATGTGGGAATTTAGTACATGAAGAAGATAATTTTCAAATCAGTGGGGAAATAATGGGCTATTCAATAAAAGGGTGTTGAGAAAATTGGCTCTCCACTTAGGAAAATGAAGTAAAATCCTTCTATTACATATATTCCTTCACTAACATATAGTGTGGGTGACTTTAAGAGCTGAATGGGAAAATAAAACTAGAAAAATATGAGAGGAAAATGGGTTTAGAGCCCTGGGATATAGAAGACCTTAAACATGACATAAGAGAGAAAAGCCAGGGCGCCTGGGTGGCTCAGTTGGTTAAGCGACTGCCTTAGGCTCAGGTCATGATCCTGGAGTTCCGGGATTGAGTCCCACATTGGGCTCCCTGCTCAGCAGGGGGTCTGCTTCTCCCTCTGCCCTCTTCCCTCTCGTGCTGTCTTTCATTCTCTCTCTCTCAAATAAATAAATAAAATCTTTAAAAAAAAAAAAAAGAGAGAGAAAAGCCATGGGGCACCTGGCTGGCTCAATTGGTAGAACATGTGACTCTTGTTCTCGGGGTCTTGAGTCCTGAGTTCAAGCCCCGCCTTGGGTGTGGAGCCTATTTAGAGAGAGAGAAAGAAACCAGAATGGAAGTGGTTGAAGATTCTGATTACATCAAAATTTGAATATTCCCATGGCCTCAGATACTGTGAAGTTAGACAAGCAAAAGACTAAATAACTGAAAAATGTGTAACGGGACTAAGTCTAAATTTGTAAAGGATGGCAAAGTGGGAAACCCCAGGGAAATGGGTAATTCAGCAAAAAGGATATAAAAGAAGATGCCAGGTTTGTGGGTTTTTTTCCCTATCAGATTGGCAAACAGGAGAAAGGTTACTGATAAACGTTGGCGAGGCTGTGGGGAAATGAGTACCCACATTCCATGATGGTGGGGGTGTAAATTGGAACAGCTACTTTGGAGAGCAATTTGGCAATCTTTACTAAAATAACGTGCAGACCCAGTGGGTTTGGGAATTTTACCAAATTGATGAGACACTGAGATGGGAAAAAAATGAATCGGTTCCAGAATAGAGGGTTTTAAGATGGATGTATCTGAAACAGTATAATTACAGATAAACTTGGTTTAAAGAATTGGCACCAAATCCCATTCACAACATCCCCCCAAACACATAATATTTGGAAGTCAATTCAGAATGATTGATATATTGTAAAGGTATCCGTTTGCCCCCGGCAGAATGGTGCAGTTGCAATCAGAATCCCAGCAGGGAGTTCATTTGGTTTGGGTTTTTGTTTTCTCCCGCTAGAACAAAACAATATTATTGTGAAATTAAAGGTTGACATAGAAGTGGGTAATAGGCAGGATATTAAACAGTGTACCAGAAAAGAAGTGAAGTGGAAAGACCAGCCCTAGCAGGTAGAACCATGTATAACACAGTGGCAAATAAAGCGATGGCATCCTCAGTAATGGATGAAGTAAACTTCTGAAGAGGAGTCTTTGCTCTGGGGGGTGAGGGGGTCCTGCCCCGAAGCAGGACCAGGCTCCCATGTCACATGGCCCCAGCCAACTGAGTTCTGTTAGATGGGCTGCTCCATCTCCAAGTTTTCCTCCCCTCCCTCAGTCTGTTGGTTTGTTTTTGCTGCAGGTCCAAGCTTTGTCCTGTGCCAGTAAGTTTGAAGCTGAGCTAAAAGCGGAGCAAGATGAGCGGAAGCGGGAGGAGGAGAAGAGGAGGCTCCGCCAAGCGGCCTTCCGGGAGCTCAAGGCTGCTTTCAGCACATAGTTGGGCGACCTTGACCTCCATCCACCCAGTGCCTCACAGATGCCCCCGAGAGTGCTGGCTGGGCATCCTCACCCCTGCCACTCCTGCCCCCCAGCCAGCCTTCGCACCCACCACCCGATGCAAACTCAGCCTCATGGGGCGACAGCCAAGGCTCTCGTCCCTGTGTGGGAGCCCCTCCCAAGGGTCCTGGGATGAGCCAACTGCCCCCCCTTGCTTCTCTTTCCTGCCCTCCTCCTGCTGTAGCCAGATCGTGCGTCTACTTGGCAACTTGTACTTTTTCCTTGTGCCTTTGCCGTTCTGCATCGAAGAGTGTTACTTTGTGCAGATATTTGTTTCTTTGCTGGTCCTCAGAGGAGATAGCCCCTGGAGGGCTCTGATGTTAATGTCACCCCATTTTCTTGGGTAATTCTCTGCGCCTCTCCTCTCTGGGTCTCCCTCCCCTTTGTTTCTTATCCACCTTCCCTGTTTTCATTCTGAGCCTGATTCTGCCAGTTGCTTTTGCTGCTTCTGTCTTTTGATGATGGTGAGGTTGAAGGCAAACCAGGCTGGACCACTGCCTGTCCCCTCTTCAACAGGGGGAGTGGCATGCTGCTGAGATGACAGAATAGTAGAAAAATAGAACATTCTGTTCCTATCACCTTTCTCCTGTCCTTGTAGCATTCCCCACGGACCCAACCTCTTCATTACTCCCTCTATTCATGTCTTCTCATTTCAGCCTTTCCTCCTGCTCTTAAATACTGTCCTACTCACCTGTAAGAGTAAAAGAAAAATCGGAAGTGATACTAATGCGTAGAAGAATCCCTGTTAATTCTGACTATGCAAATTATATTGTAGCAGACGCCTACATTCCCAAGTGACAAATCCAGAGCTTTTCAAAACCCCCAAAGTCATGACCATCCTCATCTGGCCAGTTTCCAGCTTTTGCTCCCAAGACATTGAGGTGATGCTGTTCTACACCCAGGGCAAATTTTTATATGTTGTGCGTTCTTGGGATTGCTCGCAAATACCAGGGGTTTGCTGTATTTTTAAAAATACTTCCCAGCATCATATTTATTACTTTTCTTTTGTAACTGCTGTCTTTACAACAGGAAAACATCTGCATTTCTACTTTACAGCTGTCTCTTTTTAAATAAACTGTGCAAATGGACTTTGCCATCACATCCATGTGCTTCTAGTCTTCTTTGATTTGGGGGGAGAGAGTGTTCTTTGCAGGGGCCACATCCATCCCAGGCTCCTGTTTGACACCAGCTCCTGGAAGTAGAGTTAGGAGTGGTAACTGGAGGGTCAGCTTTCCTCAGGGGCATTCTGCGTATTGAGGTTGTGTGTCAGCCGCTCACCCCCTTCCCGTCCCTGAGGATTCTCTCAGCCGTAGGTAAAATCTGCGGCTTAAATTCTCTTGCCTCCTAGACCCCTTGAAACTCTGATGAGGGCCAATGACCCCTCCCTCCTTCCCATGTAGATTCTGGGGCATTTGGGGACCTGAGTAAGGACCTCTCTCCTAAGAGAACACCCATAGCTCCCCAGGGAGGATCGTTTCGGTTTTCGCGCAAAATCAAGACCTACGATTCTTGGGCATTGTTTTTCCAGGTAGGGTCACCCTCCAACCTCCCCACCCGAGGAAGTGGACACGAAAAAGGAACGGAGACACTCTGACCATACAATCCAGGAAGCGTGCTTGGCATTTTCTCAAACAAGCTGAGAACCTCTGTCTACAAAAAAAACCCACACATGAATGTTTATAGCAGCTATTTCTTATTTTCCAAAACTTGGGAGCAGCCAAGATGTTTTTCGGTAGGTGAATGGATAAACTGGTACATTTGTACAATGGAATATTAATTCAGCCATGAAAAGAAATATTAGCAATGAAAAAAAAACTGAGCTGCCACAGAACGACAGAGGAAACTTAAAATGCATATTGCTAAGTGGAAGAAGCCAGTCTGGAAAGGTTACACACGGTATGACAAAACTATGAAAACCATGAAGTAAAAGTCAGGGGTTTTGAGAAGGAAAGAGGGCAGGATGAATAGGTGGAGCACGGGGGATTTTTAGTGGTCCTATAGTTATCCTATAGAGGTCATTATACATTGTCATTGTCAAAACGCACAGAATGCACAACACTAAAAAGCATCCCCTGATGTAAACTGTGGACTTCAGTTAGTAATAAGGTATCAATATGGGCACATCAATTGTAACAAACATACGCTAATGCCAGATGTTAGTAATGGGGGGGGGGCAGGGAGAGAGTATATGGGAAGTGTACTTTCTCCCAAGTTTTTCTGCAAATCTGAAACTGTGCTAGGGGCGCCTGGGTGGCAGAAGCTAGTAGCTTAGCTTCTCTGATCCTCAGTCTTCACCTGTAAAACACAGATTATGATCATCGACCTGGCCGATTCCAAGCCTGGCACTTACTAGTGCTCAGGACATAATTGGTTCCCTCTCTATCTTCCCACTTGCACGACTGCACTCCTGTTTCCTCCTGAGCCCTGGGTCTCCAAAGTCAGGGGCAAAGGATCCCAGGCCAGGGTGGCCCAGTTCTGGCTGCTGCCTTGGCCCCAAGCACAGGTGCCTTCTTTCTCACTTTGTTCTTTTGAGGCTCCTGACCCCACCAGCCCAGGGAGATTCCTGCCGCAGCGCCTGCCCACCTGCCACACCCCCTGCAGCTGCCACTTGCTGAGCCCTCCCTGCTGGATCACTGGATCACGTGACCCGACACCTGTGGCCTTGCCCCTGCTCAGATTTCTGCCTGCTCACCCTGCCTGCCCACCAGGCCGGATTCTGGTCACATCTCTGCCCATAGGGCTGACTTATAGGAACAATGGTTCCATAGCTATCCCCAGGGTCCTGTGCTGGTGGGAGGTCCTGGGGTGCAACTTAGGGTTCCACAGCTTAGGGAAGTCCTGAGGCTAGACCTTATCGGGTCAGTTTCCCCTCCCCTGCATCCTTTCTGAAACCAATCACTTTTAGAACTCTGCCACATGGTATTGGAAGTGTACAGCGCTCTTGCCTTTTTGAAGGGCAATTTGGTAGACTGTTAAAATTGAAAATTGTGGGCACCTGGGGGGCTCAGCTGGTTAAACAACTGCCTTCAGCTCAGGTCATGATCCTGGAGTCCCAGGATCGAGTCCCACTCAGGCTCCCTGCTCAACAGGGAGTCTGCTTCTCCCTCTGACCCTCCCCCCTCTCATGTGCTCTCTCTCTCATTCTCTCTCTCTCAAATAAATAAATAAATAAAAGCTTAAAAAAAATTGAAAATTGTAGGGGCACCTGGGTGGCTCAGTCAGTGAAGGGTCTGCCTTCAGCTCAGGTCATGATCCTGGAGTCCCAGGATCGAGTCCCACTCAGGCTCCCTGCTCAACAGGGAGTCTGCTTCTCCCTCTGACCCTCCCCCCTCTCATGTGCTCTCTCTCTCATTCTCTCTCTCTCAAATAAATAAATAAATAAAAGCTTAAAAAAAATTGAAAATTGTAGGGGCACCTGGGTGGCTCAGTCAGTGAAGGGTCTGCCTTCAGCTCAGGTCATGATCCTGGAGTCCCAGGATCGAGTCCCACTCAGGCTCCCTGCTCAACAGGGAGTCTGCTTCTCCCTCTGACCCTCCCCCCTCTCATGTGCTCTCTCTCTCATTCTCTCTCTCTCAAATAAATAAATAAATAAAAGCTTAAAAAAAATTGAAAATTGTAGGGGCACCTGGGTGGCTCAGTCAGTGAAGGGTCTGCCTTCAGCTCAGGTCATGATCCTGGAGTCCCAGGATCGAGTCCCACTCAGGCTCCCTGCTCAACAGGGAGTCTGCTTCTCCCTCTGACCCTCCCCCCTCTCATGTGCTCTCTCTCTCATTCTCTCTCTCTCAAATAAATAAATAAATAAAAGCTTAAAAAAAATTGAAAATTGTAGGGGCACCTGGGTGGCTCAGTCAGTGAAGGGTCTGCCTTCAGCTCAGGTCATGATCCTGGAGTCCCAGGATCGAGTCCCACTCAGGCTCCCTGCTCAACAGGGAGTCTGCTTCTCCCTCTGACCCTCCCCCCTCTCATGTGCTCTCTCTCTCATTCTCTCTCTCTCAAATAAATAAATAAATAAAAGCTTAAAAAAAATTGAAAATTGTAGGGGCACCTGGGTGGCTCAGTCAGTGAAGGGTCTGCCTTCAGCTCAGGTCATGATCCTGGAGTCCCAGGATCGAGTCCCACTCAGGCTCCCTGCTCAACAGGGAGTCTGCTTCTCCCTCTGACCCTCCCCCCTCTCATGTGCTCTCTCTCTCATTCTCTCTCTCTCAAATAAATAAATAAATAAAAGCTTAAAAAAAATTGAAAATTGTAGGGGCACCTGGGTGGCTCAGTCAGTGAAGGGTCTGCCTTCAGCTCAGGTCATGATCCTGGAGTCCCAGGATCGAGTCCCACTCAGGCTCCCTGCTCAACAGGGAGTCTGCTTCTCCCTCTGACCCTCCCCCCTCTCATGTGCTCTCTCTCTCATTCTCTCTCTCTCAAATAAATAAATAAATAAAAGCTTAAAAAAAATTGAAAATTGTAGGGGCACCTGGGTGGCTCAGTCAGTGAAGGGTCTGCCTTCAGCTCAGGTCATGATCCCAGGGTCCTGGGATCGAGCTCCACATCAGGCTCTCTGCTCAGCGGGGAGCCTGCTTCTCTCTCTCCCTCTGCCTGATGCTTTGCCTGCTTGTGCGCGCTCTCCTCTGTCAAATAAATAAATAGGGGAGCCTGGGTGGCTCAGTTGTTAAGCGTCTGTCTTCGGCTCAGGTCATGGTCCCAGGGTCCTGGGATCGAGCCCCGCATCGGGCTCCCTGCTCCACGGGAAGCCTGCTTCTCCCTCTCCC